GAGAGAGAGAGAGAGAGAGAGAGAGAGAGAGAGAGAGAGAGAGAGAGAGAGAGAGAGAACGCATGGGCCTGTCCCGGTCACCAGAGTAAGAATGAAACAGGCGCTGACCTTCAAGGGGGGCGAAAAAAAAGTTTTATTCACATACAACAATTTTCTCGTCGTGAAATTCGAATATAAGGCATGTGCATAGTATTCGAATAGAACGCATATGCGTTATATTCGAAGTGCCCTTGTATTCAAAGAAAATGGTGTAACTTTTCGAAAACCGTTTTTTTTGGAAAACTCGAATACAACGCATATGTGTTATGTTCAGGGGAAGACGGTAGTCTTTTTTTTTATAGCCAAAATGCCTGATTGCATTATGACATTCTCCTAAAAATAAACTACACAAAATCTCACTAGCTGGACCAACCAATCTCTTAAACCCTGCCTTCTCAAGAAAGAGTAACCCATCCACCATCACAAACTCATCAGATGTGGCCTTGTCATGGGCCTCAAGTTTGCGGATGATGTTCATCGTGACGGGATCTTCCTTGTAGGCTTCCACCATCGATCGAGTAACATCTTCAGATAAGCCAAACTCGATAATTAGCGGACCCAGGTAGTCTGCCCTACGTGACAGCGCATCAGCAACCTTGTTATACTCCCCCTTCGCATAGTCTAGCTTGAAGTCATACTGATCTATGACCTCAATCCAGCATTTGAGTGCATCAGAGAGAACAGGTTGTGTCTTGATCCACTTGAGCGTGGAATGGTCAGTTCTCAGATAGAAAAACCTTCCCAACAGATAGTGTCTCCACTGGACAAGTGCCTTATAGAAGGCGTAGAGTTCCTTTTCATAGGTGGACTTCGTTGACTTCTTAGAAGACATCTTTTTACTCATGTACTCGACCGCCTCAACTTCTTCCCTTCCTGTTGAGCCAGCACTGCACCAATGCCATATTGACTTGCATCAGTGGTCACTACAAATGGCCTCTCAGGATCGAGAACCATGAGAACTTCATGGTGCGTGAGAGCATGCTTCGATCGCCTGAAAGCAACTTCACACTCGTCAGTTCATTCCCATGGTGTGTCAAGGTGAGTTAGATCAGTCAAAGAGCTGGCCACCGTACTATAGTTCTTGACAAAGTTGCGGTAGTAGCCAGTCATCCCTAAGAAAGATCTGATCTCGGTCACAGACTGAGGTCGTGGCCAGTCACGAATGCTTGCCACCTTGGCATCTTCAGGCCTTATCCCCTCCGCGAATATCTCATGACCCAAGTACAAGATTTTAGTGCGACCGAACTCGCATTTCTCTGAGTTAATCTTATTTTTGTGTTGTCGCAAGAGTGAAAGTACAGTCTCTGCATGTTGAGCATGCTCCTCGACAGTTCTACTAAAAATAAGTATATCATCGAGGTACACGATGATAAACTTGTCTAAGTCGTCATGGAATATCCTATTCATGGCATGCTGGAATGTTCCCGACGCATTGCAAAGGTCGAAGGGCATCACCACAACTCGTACAGACCGTACTTGGTTTGAAATGTGGTTTTGTGATGGTCCTCCGGTCTAATGGCAATTTGATGGTAGTCGGACTTCAACTCTATCTTAGTGAAGTACTTACATCGTTGCACCCTATCCAAAAGGTCATCGATGCGCAGTAGAGGCTCTGCGTTCTTCACAGTGATGGCATTGCGGCCTCTATAATCAATGCGTATCCTCAGTGTCCCCCCCTTCTTCGGGACAAATAGGACTGGTGAGCCGAAGGGGGAGGTACTAGGCCGTATCCATCCCTTTTCTGTGCGCTCTTTCAGTTGTCGCTTGAGTTCATCTAATTCAGTCGGTGCCATCCTATAGATCCTTCCTTTGGGTATCTTGCTCCTCAGAACTATGTCTATGGCATGGACAACCTCCTGTTCTAAGACTCCTGAAGGCTCCTCAAACAGATCAGGGTACTTTGCAATGACTTTTTCTATCTCTTGGGTGTTTTAACGGCCTCCCCTTTTGCAACGACTTTTTCTATCTCTGGGGTGTTTTAATGGCCTCCCCTTTTTCATAGACAAAAACTAAGTACATACCCTCCTCTTGATCTTGTTTATAATATTTATAGAAGGAAGATGTGCACATACATCCGTAAGTGTCTATCAGACTGCTAGCTTTGTACATGGCAAGTCTAACTGTCCTCCCTTCCGGTAATACATGCTTAAGTACCTTTCAGTCCCAGTCAAACTGGGGTTTTGCAACCTCGAGGTAGTACACACCTAACAAAATATCAAAAGGCAATTCGTCGCTGACAAGGAACGAAATCCTATGATTAAGTTCCCCACCTCCGTAGCAGAAGGTGCAGACCACGTCTTTAACGTAGTCGTCTACAACCATGCGCTCTTTGTTGGCTAAGGTAGAGGCTACATATCCACCTAAGCGTTGCACCCGGTTCCCTAGGCGCAGTCTCTCAACGCAGTCGCGACTTATGAAGTTTCGTGTGGAGCCAATGTCTACGAAGGCACCACATTTGCGGCCACCTACACCGACTTCCACAATGAAATTCTCCCCTCTAGGACCTCTACTGAGTGCCACCTAAGACTCGCGAGGGGGTCCCTTGCCGACCACTCACTTTGCAAGTCCTCTAAGGCCTTAGACACATCCAACGAACAGAGTATCGTTGGGCCAGGATGTGTCTGCGGACTAAAGAGTCAATAGCTTCGGCCAACTCTTGAAGTGGGGAGGGTACATCACCACTTCATCAGGAGTAGAAGCAGCTAGAACTTCCACTGGCCTGATTTGTTTCCCAAGTTGGAGCTCGTGGAAGCCATACCTTGGGAGAAGGAATTCCCAAAACCACCTTTGGGAGCTATCTTCTGCGTTACCTTTGAGTTCTTGCATCCGAACTGCTGATGGTCATACTCGCCGCAGTTGATGCAAGCCCCTCCCGAATAGTGATCTCGCCACACGTCTTGTTCCTGACCCCCCCTCACCCAAGCTGGTATCTTGGTGCAGTTCTGGGTCTGCCCCTGACTCCTTGATTGACCACCCTTTCCGCTGCCGCCTGCCTTAACCTTTACAAGCGAGGCGAGGTTGCTACCCTTAGCACTATCCTCGTCCTCTAACTCTGTGTCGTCAACTAAGTAGGAGTAATCATCAATCTCAATCTGATTCCCTTCGGAATCAACCATCATCAATCGCCTACCTTTCTTTTTCCATCTCGTGGACTCTTCTTCTTTCTTCCATCGGTAGGGGTTTGTTGGGCTCCTCCTAGCCTAGCCTTTAAATCTAGGGCCTTCTTGTTGAAGGAGTCCAGAGTGTGATATTCGATGTTGGCCTCACTGACCAGTAGATTCTTGATGTCTGTGGGAAGACATCTCAGATACATGGTCATGAGAACCTGCGGATCATAGCGCACGTCGGGGACGACAATGAGACACTCTACGGCAGAGGTAAGCTCACGTGCAGACTTGTACTTCTTAGTATCAACCCGGGTCAACGCATTAGTGGCCTGCTAGGCCTGTTGCGGGTTGTGCCATCGCGTTTCCACCAACTCCATAAAGCTCTCTAAAGTATGGGTCTTAGCCCAATCATTCATGCGCTTGCCAAAGCCTTTCGAGGCTACTAACCCATCTAGCCATCGCAGTGCCAATCCATCCAAATACGAGGCAGCAGTGATCACCTCTTCTTCTTTCTACCATCGGTAGGGGTTTGTTGGGCTCCTCCTAGCCTAGCCTCTAAATCTAGGGCCTTCTTGCTGAAGGAGTCCAGAGTGTGATATTCGATGTTGGCCTCACTGACCAGCAGATTCTTGACGTCTGTGGGAAGACATCTCAGATACATGGTCATGAGAACCTGCGGATCATAGCGCACGCTGGGGACAACAATGAGACGCTCTACGACAGAGGTAAGCTCACGCACAGACGTGTACTTCTTAGTATCAAGCCGGGTCAATATGTTAGTGGCCTGCTGGGCCTGCTGCGGGTTGTGCCATCCCGTTTCTAACAACTCCATAAAGCTCTCTAAAGTATGGGTCTTAGCCCAATCATTCATGCCCCTGCCAAACCCTTTCGAGGCTACTAACCCATCTAACCATCGCACTGCCAATCCGTCCAAATACGAGGTGGCAATGATCACCTCTTCCTCTACCAGCGTCCTCTTTGCCTTGACCCACACTGGAACCGTTCTCAACCAAGTGTCAAGAGCCTCATCCTTCTTATCACGTGGGGTTAAGGGTGGCTTCAATGGAGTCTTGGGGTACCAAGGCTGTTGTTGTCCCACTCGTGGGACCGGGTGTTGTGTAGCACCAGCTGCTGGTCCATAAGATGAAGAAGCAACAGTCTGTGCTGCTGCTGTTGACGTACCGCTTGGTGAACTGCTAAACTGAGACATAGTAGGACTAGTCATCGCCGGTGAGGAAATCGGCGATGGGAAAACTGGAGGCCGGAAACTGGGCCCACCTGTTGGAGATGGGAAAGCTCTTCCCATTCCCTGCATGGGGCTCAATATCTGGTCAAGGGTGTCCTGGATAGCATCCAGTTTGCTATACATGTATGCATGCATGGACAGGAGACCTGCCTTGAGAATCCGCATGTTGTCATCAATGACATCGTCATCTAACCCTTCTACTGCAGCTTCAACTGCCTCCCTATTCTCTAGTCTAGCTTTCCTAGTTCTAATCTTTGTTTCCCTTTCAGTAGTTTGTCTAAGTTCCTTCTCTAACCGTAAGCAATCAACTCCACTTACAAGAGTTCAATGGCTTCCAAAGTGCGTGAGGTGGCGAGCTGTACTGCGAGCCCACCATCTGACTAGAAGTAGATCCTACTGTACTGGATGAGGATTGTGAGCTGGTTGGCATTCCGAATGTCTGCTGACCAGAAGAGGTCACTGCAAATGTAGCCATTGCTACTGCACTAGCTGCTGCTGCCGCTAACGCTCGTTCCACAGCTGCTGCTGCCTCTCTAGCAGTCTCTAGATGCCTGGCCCTTGCTTCGGCCCTGACCTTCTCTCGTCACCAGGAAGTAGAACCTGAAACACTACAGGTATTCTACGTGTATCCCGTCGTGTTTGTCTTCTATCATCAGTTGCTCCTTCACCACTATGTGATCTGCTCATCAGCTAGGCAGTCACTGTCTACACTACTGCCCTCACTGGAGCCTACCACAACATGTGTCTGATCGAGTTGAAAAAAAATAAAAAATAAATAAATATTCGATAAGTTGCCTAGGCTACTGTTCACGGTATAAACAACATTCACACAAACTGTACACATGATCTACTCCTATCTTGACTAGTTTCACTCACAACAGCTTCGATCAGAACCGGCTATGGTAAAACACTACAGTACTAATCTAGGTTGTTTGTTAGGTGTCAGCAGTCTGTCCACCAACTAATCAAAAATAAAAATAAATCATGTAAACAGATGTATGCACAATGGGTATGTTTGTGATGAACAGTTCAACGTCAATTAGAATCTCCTTCCGTTGTATTCAACATGCTTGTCTGCATCATCAAGCAGCGGTGTCTAAGGCGTGCATTAACGGCCCACTCCTGTGCCCCAGGAATATGCTTATGACCATTACTGCCCTTTCTTTTTCCTCGCATGCAACGAGCCTTACATCTGACTGATCTGGCTTATCAAGAGGCAGTTTAAGGACAGCCCCCAAGGTCCTCAAGAATTATTTAACGTCGCAGATAGGATGACGATCACAGCCAGTGGACGGTTCAGAACCCCGCCAGAAATGTTTATAGACGGTCTGGTAAGCATCTACATAGGACTGGTCAGTCCGCACACCCCTCTATCAGCGCAACAAAGAGCCTTAAAGGACAAAGCACCATGGCCTGCGTGTACTACTCCCATGGGTTGGCATGGTGACCGTGACCCGTGCTTCGACCAGGGCCCTTTAGAGGCACCGCTCTCTCCTTCCAGATGCGCCATCGAGAAGAATGCCGTCTCTCGAGGTAGAGCGCTCACGACTCCTCACGAAAAGAGGACATTCAAGGTTGGACTCACTTCCTCACGGTAAGAAGAGATTGAGAGGGTAGATAAGGTAACGGAACAACGCACCTGGAGATAACTGCCCCCAACCATAGATTTCTCACTAATTGAGCCAATGTGCATTTCGATGACCGGTCATCGCTTCGGTACCACCCACAACGCAATGCAGTGCCACCTCAACCAAAATGCCACATCAGCATGCTGTCATCATCATACATACATCCGCTGTCGCCACAGTTCCCACGCTGTCACCACAGCCTCCTGCGACGCACCCCTCTACCCGGGTGTCGCGTTGTCATGCCAGCGCCAATGTATCCTCATTGCACAGAAGCATTGTCAGCACACCAAGTAACAATGTCGCCGACGGCGGATATGATCTCGAACCAGCTCTGATACCAAAGTGCAAGAAATATGAGCGATAGCGAGAGCAACGGTTAACGGAGGCCTCAATTTTCAGACGACTTGTCAGACCATTCATAAGAAAACCCAAGGGTCATTTTAACCAAACTTGCCACCAATCCATAGAGTGGAGGTTTCATGCAAAACTCACTCATTTCAGTTTTCAGGATTTTCAGGGTTTTTCAGGGCTAGCCAAAACAGTCAACTTTAAGACCCCAACAAACACCAAACGAGAGACGGTTAACGGAGGCCCCAATTTTCAGACCACTTGTCAGGCCATTTATAATAAAACCCAAGGATCATTTTAACCAAACTTATGGGCTATGGCCGCTAGCGCCCCGCTGCCCTGTAGCGCCCTCACCTCTCATCGCCCTCGCACACCCCTGCCCAAGCTAGTGCTTGCAGACACTCGCTTGCTAGCGCAGCAGCGTGTCCTGAATGCCTGCATAGGCCAGAATGCCCCGCTCTGGCCAGCCTTCTCCCTATATGGGAGAGGTTGCGGCTGTTGGACTATGTGGGCCTGGCCCGGGAAGTTTCCAGTAGCTTCCGGTCGGGCCCCCGCGCCCTCACCTCTCAGCGCCCTCGCACACCCCTGCCCAAGCTAGTGCATGCAGACACTCGCTTGCTAGCGCAGCAGCGTGTCCTCAATGCCCGCATAGGCCAGAATGCCCCGCTCTGGCCAGCCTTCTCCCTATATGGGAGAGGTTGCGGCTGCTGGACTATGTGGGCCTGGCCCGGGAAGTTTCCAGTAGCTTCCGGTCGGGCCCCAGTGTCTGCGCCCAGGCTGACTTGACAGTTACGGGCCTGGACCGTTTTTAGTTTGGCAAACCCACTACTTTCCAGGCTCCGAATGTTTGCTGCATTTGCACTGGGCCATGGGGTGGATACGACGTCAATGCTGCTTTCTTGTTGGCCTGTGGCCACTTCGTCATGTATTGGCCTCCCAATGCGTGTGCCCTGGGCTCAACCACCCGGGCCCTGGGCTCAACTGCCTGACGCAGTTCCTTCCTCTGGAAGAGCCCAGGGTAAGGCCTCAGGTTGCACTTCAACCAACTGTCGTGCAGCACCTGTCTGAGACCCGCATTGGAAAATGCCGAGATAAGGGCCTCTCGTGTATCTTCAGGCCCGCCTTCACTTAGGGCGGGCACGAGGCTTGCTGGGGGCCACCGTCGGAACATATGCATGTTGTTTCAGGGCTGATGTAACATATCAGAAAGTGAAATGCACTGACAGCCTAGGATCTAGCGATGACGAAAGTGGCAACAACCAGCAGCATAGGTGCAGCATTCACAAGATGTCAATGTGCGTGATGCAAAGAGCAACCCAACGAGAAATCAACAACAACACATTCGTATCATTATCATCATGGGCTGTGAAGCAGCGCAGCGGAAGATTTAGTATCAAAGGACACGTGGACAACAACATGAAAAGGAGAAAACTTCAGAAGGGCAAGACATCAGAAAGATTGCCCTTCCGCTCACACACATGGGGAGAGATCCATAGACATGCGAGAGAGAAGGGGGAGGGACGGAGGTAACCAAGTCCAACCCAAGTCTGATCTCCGAATGTCGCA